TCACCAATGTCGAATAGAGGGGAACGATCACGTCCCTCGATCTGCTCGCTATGCCCCTACTTATACATCCCAAAATGCCATTGGCCTTCTTGGCAACAAGGGCACACTGCTGACTCATATCCAGCTTCTCGTCCACTGTCACCCCTAGGTCCTTTTCCGCAGAACTGCTGCCTAGCCATTCGGTCCCTAGTCTGTAGCTGTGCATTGGGTTCTTCCGTCCTAAGTGCAGGACCCTGCACTTATCCTTATTGAACCTCATCAGATTTCTTTTGGCCCAATCCTCCAATTTGTCTAGGTCCTTCTGTATCCTATCCCTCCCCTCCAGCGTATCTACCACTCCTCCCAGTTTAGTATCATCTGCAAATTTGCTGAGAGTGCAATCCACACCATCCACCAGATCATTTATGAAGATATTGAACAAAACCGGCCCCAGGACTGACCCTTGGGGCACTCCACTTGATACCGGCTACCAACTAGACATGGAGCCATTGATCACTACCCGTTGAGCCCGACAATCTAGCCAGCTTTCTACCCACCTTATAGTGCATTCATCCAGCCCATACTTCCTTAACTTGCTGACAAGAATACTGTGGGAGACCGTGTCAAAAGCTTTGCTAAAGTCAAGAAACAATACATCCACTGCTTTCCCTTCATCCACAGAACCAGTAATCTCATCATAAAAGGCGATTAGATTAGTCAGGCATGACCTTCCCTTGGTGAATCCATGCTGGCTGTTCCTGATCACTTTCCTCTCATGCAAGTGCTTCAGGATTGATTCTTTGAGGACCTGCTCCATGATTTTTCCAGGGACTGAGGTGAGGCTGACTGGCCTGTAGTTCCCAGGATCCTCCTTCTTCCCTTCAATAATCCCTTCCAGACTACTTGTTTGAGGGGAAGAAGTTCTTCGGCTTTTCTGATGCCTCAGCCACTATCTTATCCATTGGTTTGGCAAACACCTTGCCACCTCAGTATTCTCATGTGGTCAGGAGTTGTTGAGCTAGGATGTCAGCCTTTTGGAAGAGAGCCACATGACTCCTTTCAGAGTAGCAGCCGTGTTAGTCTGTATCCACAAAAAGAAAAGGAGTACTTGTGGCACCTTAGAGACAAACAAATTTATTTGAGCATAAGCTTTCGTGAGCTACAGCTCACTTCATCGGATGCATGCAGTGGAAAATACAGTGGGGAGATCTATATACAGAGAGAACATGAAACAATGAGTGTTACCATACACACTGTAACAAGAGTGATCAGATAAGGTGAGCTATTACCAGCAGGAGAGCGGGGGGACCTTTTGTAGTGATAATCAAGGTGGGCCATTTCCAGCAGCTCACAAGAACGTGTGAGGAACAGTGAGGAGGGGGGAAATAAACATGGGGAAATAGTTTTACTTTGTGTAATGACACATCCACTCCCAGTCTTTATTCAAGCCCAAGTTAATTGTGTCCAGTTTGCAAATTAATTCCAATTCAGCAGTCTCTCATTGGACTCTGTTTTTGAAGTTTTTTTTTGTTGAATTGCCACTTTTAGGTCTGTAATTGAGTGACCAAAGAGATTGAAGTGTTCTCTGATTGGTTTTTGAATGTTATAATTCTTGACATCTGATTTCTGTCCATTTATTCTTTTAAGTAGAGACTGTCCAATTTGGCCAATGTACATGGCAGAGGGGCATTGCTGGCACATGATGGCATATATCACATTGGTAGATGCGCAGGTGAACGAGCCTCTGATAGTGTGGCTGATGTTATTAGGCCCTGTGATGGTGTCCCCTCAATAGATATGTGGGCACAGTTGGCAACGGGCTTTGTTGCAAGGACAGGTTCTTGAGTTAGTGGTTCTGTTGTGTGGTGTGTGGTTGCTGGTGAGTATTTCCTTCAGGTTTGGGGGCTGTCTCCCAAGATCTGTGAGAGTGATGGGTTGTCCTTCAGGATAGGTTGTAGATCCTTGATGATGAGTTGGAGGGGTTTTAGTTGGGGGCTGAAGGTGATGGCTAGTGGCATTCTGTTATTTTCTTTGTTGGGCCTGTCCTGTAGTAGGTGACTTCTGGGAACTCTTCTGTCTCTGTCTATCTGTTTCTTCACCTCAGCAGGTGGGTATTGTAAGAATGCTTGATAGAGATCTTGTAGGTGTTTGTCTCTGTCTGAGGGGTTGGAGCAAATGCGGTTGTATCATAGAGCTTGGCTGTAGACAATGGATCGTGTGGTGTGGTCTGGGTGAAAGCTGGAGGCATGTAGGTAAGCATAGAGGTCAGTAGGTTTCCAGTATAGGGTGGTGTTAATGTGACCATCGCTTATTAGCACCGTAGTGTCCAGGAAGTGGATCTCTTGTGTGGACTGGTCCAGGCTGAGGTTGATGGTGGGATGGAAATTGTTGAAATCATGGTGGAATTCCTCAAGGGCTTCTTTTCCATGGGTCCAAATGATGAAGATGTCATCAATGTAGCGCAAGTAGAGTAGGGGCATTAGGGGACGAGAGCTGAGGAAGCGTTGTTCTAAGTCAGCCATAAAAATGTTGGCATACTGTGGGGCCATGCGGGTAGCCATAGCAGTGCCGCTGATTTCAAGGTATACATTGTCCCCAAATGTAAAATAGTTATGGGTAAGGACAAAGTCACAAAGTTCAGCCACCAGGTTAGCCGTGACATTATCGGGGATAGTGTTCTTGACGGCGTGTAGTCCATCTTTGTGTGGAATGTTCGTGTAGAGGGCTTCTACATCCATAGTGGCCATACACAACCCCAGCCGTGCAGAACACAATGCCATCCACAGCCTCAGAAACAACTCTGACATCATAATCAAAAAGGCTGACAAAGGAGGTGCTGTTGTCATCATGAATAGATTGGAATATGAACAAGAGGCTGCTCGGCAGCTCTCCAACACCACTTTCTACAAGCCATTACCCTCTGATCCCACTGAGAGTTACCAAAAGAAACTACAGCATTTGCTCCAGAAACTCCCTGAAATAGCACAAGATCAAATCCACACAGACACACCCCTGGAACTCCAATCTGGGATATTCTATCTACTACCCAAGATCCATAAACCTGGAAATCCTGGGCGCCCCATCATCTCAGGCATTGGCACCCTGACAGCAGGATTGTCTGGCTATGTAGACTCCCTCCCCAGGCCCTACGCTACCAGCACTCCCAGCTACCTTCGAGACAGCACTGACTTCCTGAGGAAACTACAATCCATCGGTGATCTTCCTGATAACACCATCCTGGCCACTATGAATGTAGAAGCCCTCTACACCAACATTCCACACAAAGGTGGACTACAAGCCGTCAAGAACACTATCCCTGATAATGTCACGGCTAACCTGGTGGCTGAACTTTGTGACTTTGTCCTTACCCATAACTATTTTACATTTGGGGACAATGTATACCTTCAAATCAGCAGCACTGCTATGGCTACCCGCATGGCCCTACAGTATGCCAACATTTTTATGGCTGACTTAGAACAACGTTTCCTCAGCTCTCGTCCCCTAACGCCCCTACTCTACTTGCGCTATATTGATGACATCTTCATCATCTGGACCCATGGAAAAGAAGCCCTTGAGGAATTCCACCATGATTTCAACAATTTCCATTCCACCATCAACCTCAGCCAGGTCCAGTCCACACAAGAGATCCACATCCTGGACACTACAGTGCTAATAAACGATGGTCACATAAACACCACCCTATACCGGAAACCTACTGATCGCTATTCCTACCTACATGCCTCCAGCTTTCACCCTGACCACACCACACGATCCTTTGTCTACAGCCAAGCTCTGCGATACAACCGCATTTGCTCCAACCCCTCAGACAGAGACAAACACCTACAAGATCTCTATCAAGCATTCTTACAACTACAATACCCACCTGCGGAAGTGAAGAAACAGATTGATAGAGCCAGAAGAGTTCCCAGAAGTCACCTACTATAGGACAGGCCTAACAAAGAAAATAACAGAACGCCACTAGCCGTCACCTTCAGCCCCCCAACTAAAACCCCTCCAATGCATTATTAAGGATCTACAACCTATCCTGAAGGAAGACCCAACACTCTCACAAATCTTGGGAGACAGACCAGTCCTTGCCTATAGACAGCCCCCCAACCTGAAGCAAATACTCACCAGCAACCACATACCACACAACAGAACCACTAACTCAGGAACCTATCCTTGCAACAAAGCCTGTTGCCAACTGTGCCCACATATCTATTCAGGGGACACCATCACAGGGCCTAATAACATCAGCCACACTATCAGAGGCTCGTTCACCTGCACATCCACCAATGTGATATATGCCATCATGTGCCAGCAATGTCCCGCTGCCATGTACATTGGTCAAACTGGATAGTCTCTACATAAAAGAATAAATGGACAGAAATCAGATGTCAAGAATTATAACATTCATAAACCAGTCGGAGAACACTTCAATCTCTCTGGTCACGCAATTAAAGACATGAAAATTGCGATATTACAACAGAAAAACTTCAAAACCAGACTCCAGAGAGCGACTGTTGAATTGAAATTCATTTGCAAATTGGATACAATTAACTTAGGCTTGAATAGAGACTGGGAGTGGCTAAGTCATTATGCAAGGTAACCTATTTCCCCTTGTTTTTTCCTCTCCCTCCCCTCCCCCACCAGACATTCTTGTTAAACCCTGGATTTGTGCTGGAAATGGCCCAACTTGATTATCATACATATTGTAAGGAGAGTGATCACTTTAGATAAGCTATTACCAGCAGGAGAGTGGGGTGGGGGGAGAGAAAACCTTTTGTAGTGGTAAACACCCATTTTTTCATGGTTTGTGTGTATAAAAAGATCTTCTGTACTTTCCACAGTATGCATCCGATGAAGTGAGCTGTAGCTCACGAAAGCTTATGCTCAAATAAATTGGTTAGTCTCTAAGGTGCCACAAGTACTCCTTTTCTTTTTATATACAGTTCACTATGATAATGTTTTCACTTATTTAATACATGCCAAAGGTGTTACAAAAAAACTGAGCTACTTACTTTCCAGTTCAATGATCTCCATTCTACTCCCTTCTGTGTCACGGCCAACAAATTTCAAACCTTTCTCTTCAAAGCAGCCAGTCAGTTCTGGATTTACCTGGAAAATTGAAAAATACGGGTAGTAATTATTGTAGAATTTACATATTTAACAAAGGTAGATAAGTTTTTAACTTTTTAAATTTATATGTAGGAAAGTGGGGGGCTGGGAATTATTCCTTGTTTAAAAATTGTGCAGTGGAAATTTGTAAAATTGGTGGTTCTTACGTAATATGAAATTAAGCAATATTTTTTTAAAATGTGAAATGCATCCAAAATACTAAAAGGGCTCCTACGAGTATACTATATTTGTATCAAGCATGGTTGATATTCTAGAGCATGTATGATGTCACTGATAAACAAGTATGTTTCTTTAATATAGTCAACCTTAAAAAAAAGAAGTTGGTGAACACTTGAAGTCCTAAAGGAAAATAATGCCCAAATAAAACCCACATGACTCATGAAACCTAGAATCAACAACTTCATACAGCACCTTCTCACACATACATACCCACAAATACTCACAAATATATGATATTCCTATCCCAAGCAAATTAACATTCATCAACCTCAGCCACCAAGCTGCACCCACCCAATCTTAACTCTGCCCTCTGTGGCTTGTTGTCAGCGTTCCTGTAATTCATCCCCTATACTTGATTTCAGCATTATTTGCCCTAAGGAGCTGTGCAATTTTAAGGGAGGTTTGGAAGTGCAGGTTGTTGTTGTTTGGGGGTGGGGTTTTTGTATTTGTGAACTACATCATGTTTATTATTTTGCTATTAATAAGGAGTGTTACTACATTGCGTGGTTGGTAGAATAGAATCATAGAATCATAGAATATCAGGGTTGGAAGGGACCCCTGAAGGTCATCTAGTCCAACCCCCTGCTCGAAGCAGGACCAATTCCCAGTTAAATCATCCCAGCCAGGGCTTTGTCAAGCCTGACCTTAAAAACCTCTAAGGAAGGATAATAATAGTTATTGATCATTATCAATTATCAATTATTATATTGATCTAATAATAATAGTTATTGATCATTAGGCAAGGGAGAGTACTAGGGGGCTCAGTGGGCTGGGCAGCCTCGTAGCTAGTGTACCTAAATTCCAGCCCTTTGCCTCTCTGTCAGGGCAGCAGAAGTATCTTTTCCTGACCTTACGCCAGGGATCTTTGGCTTCCCACCCACGTCAATGTGTAGGCCCTTAAGAGGATATTGTAGGGAGACTTGTGGGAAAGTGACACCAGCAGAGTCCTCCCTGCAGTGCGTCTAAGTTGCTCTCCTGAGGCACTTCCTACATATAGATCCCTTCGGTTTGGGATATGCCCCTATGAACAGTCAATCCCCTTACACCAGAAGAATCCAAAGGAGCAGGGCTCTGCCAGACCTGCTGGTTCTTCAAGAAAGTGGTGGTTGGCAAAGGCTCTGCCTGTGGACCTTGCCCACTCTGTGGCCCCCTCGCAGGCTCACTCTTCTGTCTGGCTTTCCAGAGAAGGATTTCTCTCTCCTACACTCTGTTCACCACCCTTTGGCTGAGCTCCTCTTAACCGAATCCTCCAGGCGGAGCATGCTTGGCAGCTCTGGAGGCATAGGGCAGCCAGGGCCCAGTATTGCTTTTTAACCCCTTCGGGCCCAGGGTGGGGTTTGTATATCCCATCACAGAGAAGTACAATAAATGTGTAGTTTTTGCAGGGCATGCAGCATGAACTGAAAATGATTTGCAGAATAGGAGTGCTATCTGAGCAGTGCAGCCAGGAGGCAATATTCTTCTTTTTTATTTTGTCATTAGTAGTTGCTACTCGGAGTCACACAAATGTGATTACCTCCCCTATTGTGCCTATCTTCACTGATATAGATGGAGGCCTAACCGTCCCCTACACCTTTATTCAGGTAACCAATCAAATCATTTCTCAAAAGCCATCTCCTCTTGTGATGCTTCTCTTCTAGTCTGCGCAGCAGAAGTGTGACTTCCCCTAATATCATTCTGGAAGTCTGCTCACAGGAGGGGCTCATATAATAAACTGCAGTTACCTCGTTACCTATGTGAATTATCTGAGCTCAACCAGCCTGAGAAGCAATACACCTAATCCTGCTCCCAATGAAATCAATGGGAATTTTACCATTAACTTCACTGGGAGAAGGATCAAGTCCAGTATCACTCTTCAAGCTAGGTCTCCTCCTAAAATGCAACACTGTCTGCAAACCACAGAACTCTTTGGATTACATCTAAATAGTACCTACTATTACACCAAACCCCTAAGGCCTTGCTTAACCCTTATTCAGGAAAACTCCCATTGACTTCAGATTAAATAAATTCTTCATGGTTTGCCAATGCTATACATTCTCAACAATATAAATTATATTAGCAATGCCTTACCTCATATCGATGCCTGTGTCGTTCCTCCACAAAATCTTCATCACCATAAAGTTTCCCTGAAAATAGCACAAGGGGAATGATTAACAGTAAAGTATTGCTTCTAACACACATTTCTAGAAACCCAAAGACGCCGCTCTTACAATGTGCCATAATGTTTCTAGTGTTGTTCTTTTAGTTCATGATGTCCTGCACGTGCTCCATGAAATCTAAATTCCAAGAAATTTCTTACACTCAAAACAAACAACCCAATTGTATTCACTATGACCCTAACACGATCTTTGCTTGTGCTTTCCTGTCTCACTACTTATCCAGTTGTTTGCGGTGTCGTTGTAGCCACGTTGGTCCCAGGATATTCGAGAGACAAGATGGGTGAGGTCATATCTTTTATTGGACCAACTTCTGTTGGTGAGAGAGACAAGCTTTCGAGCTTAAACAGAGCTCTTCTTCAGAAGAAGAACAGAACTTGGTCCAATAAAAATACTACCTTACCCATCTGGTCTCTCTAACTTACCAGTCACTATCAACTTCTGCAAGTAAGATTATGAATAACTTTTGTAGACTGTAGAGCTTTGACACCAACCCTGAATGGCTTTGCATGATTTCATAAAGCCTCCACACAGGAGATGGGCTAGTGAATCAACCTGTATGAAACCCTTATAGGGATACTCAGCACCTCTGATGCATTCACAACAGGCATCTGCAAGAGAGTGCAGACTAAGCTGAGCCTGCTGCCCAAACCTTTGACTAGGGTTCTGTTCCATTTTAAAGGACCAAACCCTGCAGTTGACATAAAACCTGCAACAACACAAAGACATTCCCTCTCTGTTCTTTTTTCCTTTTCTTTCTGCTTCCCCGGCTTCTTCCATCTAATGACTCCTAAAGCCCATCAGCCTAAGCTAAGATCATAAGAATGGCCACGCCGGGTCAGACCAATGGTCTATATAGCCTAGTATCCTGTCTTCTGACAGTGGCCAGTGCCAGATTCTTCAGAGGGAACTAACAGAACAGGGCAATTATTGAGTGATCCACCCGTTGTCATCCAGTCCCAGATTCTGGCAGTCAGAGGGATAGGGACACCCAGAGCATGGGGTTGCATTCCTACTAACAGCTATTGATGGACCTATCCTCCATTAACTTATCTAATTCTTTTTGAACTGTTATACTTTTGGCCTTCACAACATCCCCTGGCAATTTGTTCCACAGATTACTGTGCATTGTGTGAAGAAGTACTTTCTTTTGTTTGTTTTAAACCTGCTGCTTATTAATTTCATTTGGTGACCCCCTAGTCCTTGTGTTATGAGGAGTAAATAACACATTCTTATTTGCTTTCTCTACACCAGTCATGATTTTATAGACCTTTACATAACCCCACTTGGTCATCTCTTTTCCAAGCTGAAAAGTCCCAGTCTTATTAATCTCCCCACAAAGGGAAGCTTTTCCATACCCACAAACATTTTTGTTGCCCTTTTCTGTATCTTTTCCAATTCCAAAATACAGTGAAAACTGTGTTAACCGGCCCAGCACAAACCAGAAAGCTCTATAAACTGGCATTTCTAATCTTCATCGAAAGTCTGGTTTATAGTCTGGTTGGCGTGGGGCCGGCAGGCTCCCTACCTGGTTTCACATGGCTTCCCGGAAGCAGTGACATGTCTCTGCTGCTCCTAGGAGGAGGAGGAATGGCCATGAGGGCTTCAGACTGCGGGAGGAAGTGCAGGGCTGGGGGGCAGGCTCTCAGAGGGAGATTGGGTGCGGGAGGGGACGTGGGGAAAAGGGTTAGGGCACAGGAGGGGGCTCAGGGTGCCGGATCTGGGGGGCACTCACCTCTGGTGGCTCCTCGCACATGGCGACCTGTCCCAGCTGTCCTAGACGGAGGTACGGCAGGCAGCTCTGCACACTGTCTCCACCCACAGCTCCCATTGGCCGTGGTTCCCGGCCAATGGGAGCAGCGGGGTGACATGCAGAGCCTTCTAGTCACGCCTCCACCTATGAGGAGTAGGGACAAGTTGCCACTTGCAGAGAGCTGCCCAAGGTGAGCGCCCCCCAGATCGGGCACCTCGAGCCCCCTCCCACACCCAAATTCCCTCCCAGAGCCTAAGCCCCAACCCCGTACCCCCTCCTACACCCAAACTCCCTCCCTCTTAGTTAACTGGCATTTTTCACTTACCAGCACACCCCATTGCCCAACATGCCTGATAAAACAGCTTTTACTATATCTTTTTGAGATGGGGCAAACACATCTGCACACAGTATTCAAGACATGGATGTACCATGGATTTATATAGAGGCAAATTGATATTTTCTGTCTTATTATCTATCTCTTTCCTAATGATTCCCAACATTCTGTTTGCTTTTTTGACTGCCGCTGCACACTGAATGGATGTTTTCAGAAAACTATCCACGACACCAAGATCTCTTTTTAGAGTGGTAACAGCTAATTTAGACCTCATCATTTTATATGTATAACTGGGATTATGTTTTCCAATGTGCATTACTTTGCATTTATCAACATTGAATTTCATCTGCCATTTTGTTCCCTAATTACCCAGTTTTGTGAGGTCCCTTGTAACTCTTCACAGTCTGCTTTGGACTTAACTATCCCTGAGTAGTTTTGTATCATCTGAAAATGTTGACACCTCACTGTTTTCTCCTTTTCCCAGCTAGAAAGTGATGAAAGTCTAACCGTAGTTCTAATTAAAGGTAATGGACCAAATTCTGCTCTCTGTTACACTGCTGTAACTAAGATTAGAATCTGGCCCAAATTGTTATTGCAGGACTGAACTGCGGGAGGACATCTCCAAAAATTGCAGTGTGGAAATAAAGGTCTTACTGAGGGAGGTTACAAAAGTTAATCCTAGGGAAACCTTTAGAACCCCTCATATTCCCATTCTAGTTGTGATTTATGAGGAGTGGGAGCAGGATTTCCTTCTCCAATACAGAGTATCAAAGCTCTACGCATTCCTCTGACACATATGGCCATCCAAGCTACTCAAAATAATGGCACAGATTTACAACATATTGCTGCACCTTCACATTAACCTTTCTAGCAGCAGATAAGGACCACATAATAACTGTAGTATAGCAACAGGAAAAGATTATACATGATGAAGCGTGTATCCATATCCTCTCTAGTGTTACCCAGGCCACATAGCTGATTGTCAAAAAGCCATTATCTCTAAAAGCACTTTTTCTTTTAAATGGGTATATAGACTGCACTTTCATTTCCTGCCAAATTACATAAAGAAAAGGAGTACTTGTGGCACCTTAGAGACTAACCAATTTATTTGAGCATGAGCTTTCGTGAGCTACAGCTCACTTCATCCACTTGGATGAAGTGAGCTGTAGCTCACGAAAGCTCATGCTCAAATAAATTGGTTAGTCTCTAAGGTGCCACAAGTACTCCTTTTCTTTTTGCGAATACAGACTAACACGGCTGTTACTCTGAAACCTGCCAAATTACATATTATCTTAAAAACTCAAAAAGCTACTGTCTACAAATCTGAGAATGCAAAACATTTTTTCATATCCCAGATGAATGCCACAAGCTGAAAAGATGAATAGGATGATAATGTAGCAAGTACGTCTGAATCTGCTGATGGACAAAGAATTGTATTGTATCAATGTTTTATCATCACCTAATTTCCTTTATAAGTGAGACATGCTAATAGGTGACCTACATTAAGCATTATTGCAACTTTTGAAACATGTGGCTGAAACTGAATGTGGTATTTCTTTTTGCCTACCAGCTATAAGTAGTAACTTAATTTATACCACTTCTCCATTTTGACCCCACAAAAACAAAAACCACAACACTAATATATTAGTTTGTGGGGCTGGGTGGTAGGTCCAGGACTAAGATTAGGGCCCTAGACTATGGTTTGTGGGGGCCGTGGGAGGTCCAGGACTAAGATTAGAGCCCTATTCACAGCCCAGAGCCCTTTTGGACCTAACCCTAACCCTAGCAGTGGGCTGCCTGCTGACACAAACCTTAGCAATAGCCCAGGACTCCTTGCCAGCACAGACTGTAACACAAGCCCAAGGATGAATACCAGCCCCAACCCTAACTCTAACTCTAGCCTGGCAAGCACTGCTGGCCCCAACTTTAAACAGGGACCACCAGTAACTAACTGTAACCATAGCTAGAGGATCTCTGCCAGCCTATGGAAGGGCAGACTTGCTCCGGCCTCCTTTCTAGCCCATTAACAGCTCAGAGACCTTCTTCTAGTAAAACACCTCGTGGTTCATTTACAGGGTTCTTTTCTAGAGCCTTTACAGACTGTGCTACAACATATCAACAGTCCCATGGAGCCCTCAGCTCCTGTGCCAAGGAGAAGAGAGATATCTTGTGACTCATGCGACAAGGCAGCTGGCCTGGGGCTGGGGCTGCCCCTCCCTCACCCTCTTTCCCCTTTCATAGTTCCTTCCTGCACCTTTTGTACCTTCTGGGCTAATGAGTTAATTAGCCTTTTAACTCTCTCCATCCCATCCCAACCTATCAACTGGGCACAATGCCCATATTCAGGGTGCTGTGGGACAACTAACTGGCGTTGCAGTGATCAGAGTGCTGGCTCAGCCACTCTTGCCCCTGCACTCTAACATCCATATCCCCCACCCCCGTTACCTCAGAATCAGATTTTTCTTTCCCTGTGCTTTCCCTTGCATAGCAGAGGTGTCATGCCGTGGGGGTCACTCTTAGTCCCTAGGGTGATCATCAAGGTTGTTCTTGTGGTGTCCACCCATTTTCCATCCACAGAACCCGTGCTTGGTGGGGGGAGGATGTCCCCACAGCTCCATTTCAGCCCACAAGTCGTCATACAATGTGCATCCCTAGGGGTTGCTCTCCCTACTCTATCGCTTTACATCTGGCAGTGGATCGAGGGCATGCCCCTCATTCCCCTGGTTAGTCAGGGCCTTGGGCTCTCCCAGCCCTCCAAACTGTGCCTGAGCTGCTTCTCCTTGGGGTGCACCATGGGGTACCTCCTGGGCCCCTCAACCTCTACTAAGGAGCTCTGCTTGTCTTTCTCCATCGTTCCTACTTCCTGAATTCCTATCCCCTCCC